GGTTCAGCACTAAGTAAATAACACAGGCTGTGGCGTTTTAAATGTGGACATTTACTGGGCAGGGAATGAGGAGATTTTATTAAGTAGGGCTACGACTGACTCTTTTTGTTTAGATTTATAAAATGTCAAAAAATAGTGAGAAATACCTATCATGGTGTCTCAGCATTGCAGGTCGTTCTGACAAACCATTTAAAAACCGAACTGCTAAATTTATAATGATACAAAACAGAGCGGTAGCACGTTTACCACATCTAAGAAGTTGTAATGTATGGAGTTTGCAGTTTAAAAATGACTGATTATATTCTCATTGATTTGTTGGTAAAGGAATTTAAAGCAAGCCATAAGTCAGAGGTGGCCAGGACTACACATAAATATTTAGTTACTGTGAGGCTGCCTCAGGACACCAAACTCCCGCAGTGTTCGCACCTTGTAAAATAAAGACAGAGAAAGTAAGAAACGGCAGCAGTGAGACAAACCTTCGATTCAGTGTCAGATCCTGGGCTGCACAGCACAGGTGTGACAGTTGGGCGAGTGGCCAGACGGGGGCGCTCACACACCTCACAGAGGACACTGCTGCCTTGATTCATAACTGTGCAGCTCTTGCACTGCCACTCTGAGGGATTGAACACACACAGTATCTTTAAAACTACTTCGTCATTAGACCTACAATCAGTGCATATTAACACTGCATTATAAGGCACACTGTAGCTTGATTTTAAAAAGTGCTGTAAAATTGAAGTTTATAATTATTGAACTTTTAAATCTCACCTGTGTTTGGGGATGTTGGAAGTGACGTGGGGCTTTCTTGAACAGTGGAAGCAGGCGTGGCAAGTCGAGGCCGTTCACAGGTGGAGCAGAGAACAGCTCGCATCTCGTTCACTGTGGTACAATGAGCACACTCCCAGGGTGACAGAGATGGACTGGAAAACAATGAAATCTTATTGTTATAACTGCGCCTAACAACTACACACCTGTTGCTTCTGGCTAAGGATCATAAATATTTTAGTTCTTCCAGTGATGTGCTGCCGGACAAATCACTAGTCAAATCTCACTGCAGACAAAACCTCTGCAAGTTCTTCTTTAGTTCTATGTGAGATGAGAGATGTTTCCTAACAGAAAGATCTAAAGATTGTTGGGTAGGACTACAGATGCCATCTTTACTTCAGCTTTTATTTTTGTCATGTAAGCTACAACTCTTTCACTGAGCAGGTCCGTGGTTGGGTGTCACCTTGGCAGAGCCACACAGGGTGATGACGGGACAAAGATTACTACTTCTACCCTGATCATTAACCACACTGTTGCCAAAAAAAAGAACTGAACCTGAATGTGAGTCTGTTTGAAGTTCCTGTTCCTCTCACCTGGATGTTTTGGCCGGTGTAAGAATAATTCTGTTATGTGCTTTGCGATCAGGGTGAGAGTGGAAGAGCCGGTCGCAGTTCAGACACAACCTCTGGGTGCAAGTGGAGCACTGAGCGTGCACAGCAGAGAACCCACAGATGCTGCAAGTGTCTACAACCACAGAAACACACAAGAAAACATATTGACAATTAACTTGTATGTCTTGCTGCTGTTCCCTGATGTACTCCTGCATTAAAACCTGTTGTGATGTGGTATACCCTGTTTGGTTTTCTGTATCTTGTCTCTCTTGTGATTGGATCTGGCAGGGTGGCGGTGGAAAAGGTCATCACATGCATCACAGAATGGCTGATTGTTACAGGATGGACACACCAGAGATGAAATGCCACCACACAAATTACATTTGCTTGCTGTAAGAGACAAAGAAGAACAGGTACTCAGAGTGTATTTAAGATTTTATGTACAATCTTCAGTATTACTGATACACAAGACTAAACTTAAGTCCTATATAAATACTGCTTCCATGAAGGGGTGTACTTGGTCTGCAACTATATTTGGGTGGGTGTTACATGTCAGTGTAGCAGAGCAGGTTCCTGGAGTGGCTGCCGCTCACCTGTTAATGGTTTTGGGGATAGGCCAAGCCCAGGGCCCTGAGCTGGCTTAGGTGAGGGAGACACAACCTGTGGTTTGTCTCCCTGAGCTGGCTTAGGTGAGGGAGACAAAACCTGTGGTTTGTCTCCCTGAGCTGGCTTAGGTGAGGGAGACAAAACCTGTGGTTTGTCTCCATGCTGCTCCTCTCCAGGCGTGATAACCACAGAGTCACTCACCAGTGTATCCTGAAGAAGCCAGCATCACAGTCAACACATACAAAGATTATCCATTATCTTATATAGTGAGCTGTGAATTATGACTATCATAATAAGAACAAATGTGCAGGATAATGTAAACATTTAGTGACACAGATTCCAGATTAAAGCTACAGCAAATGTTGGTACAGACCTGCTGGATGACAAATGGGATGATATCTTTGAAGTTTTCTAGGTGAGGATGTGTGCCCTGAGCAAACAAAGACATGACAAATGGAATAAGGTGAATTTCCTGCACAAACGTTGATTACAGGAATCAGAAGATCAATTACACACAAATCCAAACCTTCACAAGCATGTCCACCTCCGTGCGCAAAGTCATGACCTCCAGCGTCACTGCAGCGACCTTGTTAGTGTCTGGTTCGCTGACTTCCTCTGGGAAGCTGAGGCCGTCAATCTGCTGATTGGTGTAACCATAGAGATACAAGACTCTCCGGCTTCCCTGTTGAAGGAAAACTGGGAATAAAACTTTAAGACACTACATGCCTTCAGATCTCATCTTGCCAATATATGCATCATAATACATGTGAGATTTGTATGTTATTATGTAAGACAATCAGCCTCATTTGCACCAAAAACCTTCTTAGTTCAACCAAACTCTTAAACAGTTACTACTCACCTTGATGGCATCCACAGTGTTTCTGAAGATTGGGTTGTTGTGCTTGACACTCCTCCAGTATCTGGGCCTGGTGGGACTGGTCAGGTTGCAGCCATACTTCTCCAGGATACTCAAGGCCTTGACCAGTCTACTCAAAGACTCAAGAACCTGCAGTAGAGACAAATGTGACAAGTTAGTAATGCCAGTGGGGCTACTACATGACTAGGGTCAACGGCGCTACAAGAGCAGAGAGTAAACATTACCTCCTGTCTGTTGCAACCCGCCGTGTTGTCCCTCAGCATGGTCTCCACCTCCAGTTGATGATATTTCTCTGACAGAGGCACGGTGATGGCGGCCATGGTCTGAACATCAGCCTTCACATCCTGTGCTGAACCTGAGGAGGAGAGCAGGGACTGGGCCCTCTTCCTCACCTCATCCATCTCGACAGACGCAGGGCTACTGCTCATCACTCCCACAATGGAAAGATGATCATTTTGATTGTCATGTAACTATTTCAAATCATTTATTTAAAAAAAAATGTCCAAATACATACACATTCTAGCTTCTCATATGTGAGAATGTGCTACTTTTGTCTGTTTTCTGTCATTATAAATTGGAACATCTTTAGGGTTTGGGTTGTTGGACTAATGAAAAACTTCTGGGAACTTAATTTTGTCTCTATCCATTTTATGGACCAAACTATAAAAGTTTGGTGCCTGGGGTGGGAATTGTTCGCAGGCCTATGGACAGGTCAAGCATCCCAAAAAATATACAGCTGCAGTTTCAAAGCAGTTGGCCATATGATCAATGCATACAGATTATGAAAAGGAAGTCACTTGTAATTTCAGCTTCAGTTCATTGAGACAAATTTGGGATGTCACTTTTCTAATTTATGAAACAGCACTTAAATGTACAAATCTGCACTTTTAACAGCATTTCCTTGCAGACTTTAGACACACACAAAAATCTTGTTTTATGGGGGCAAATCTCATTTAAAATCTCAACCGTGTAATGCAATCAAGTGCATTTACTCAGTGCTGCACAACACTATTGAGATACATGTGCTGTGCTGCATTACACTACTAATTTTACTTTTGACATTTATTCATCAGCTGTAGTCATTACATTTCAGATTAGCATGTACAAAACGTGACCGTTTTACAAAATGTGATGCACTATTATAGACTAACCTACAAATTGATAAATAAAATTAACATTTCTACTTTTAGCCAAAGGTATCAGTCAAATGAACATGTGGAAAATGAATATTTTAAATTAGTAAATACTGACAATTCATCTAATAAGGTCAAAGAAAACATTTACGATTCATTTACCATTTATTATGGTGTAAGGTGTCAGCAGGTGTTAGCAAAACAAGGTTTCTTTGAGACTGTCTCCCTTTAATTCGCAATATGAGGCTATTAACAACTAACGTTGTATTAACACGGGAAAGTCCGGTCTAGTGATAGTTTCACTCTGCTGACATTACAGTAGTAAACAACTGAACGATAACAAAACCATAAAAACTACAGACAGCACTCTGAGTTATGTTTCTTCACGACAAAATCTAACGAGATATTAGTGTTGCTTGCTAGTTTTGTGGCATTAACGTTTGAAACATTAAGCTAGTAGTTGAACAAACCACGTATCATTAATAATTCACGTTAGAAGAAACCGAAACTTTTAGGATTATGACGTTATAAATACATACCGTTCTTGCTCACGACTTAACGTTCCTTTTATCGGTTATTTCATCCTCCGTTATACCGAGGGAAAGGTCTGTACTGTCATTGCTAAAAAAAAATATCGTGTTTATAATTCACATTAGTGGTTAGATTCTTATTTACAGTGACTTTGCTATTGCGCCTGTGAAACTACGTTTAAATGCGGAAATCTAAATGGACACTTCCGGCTTTTCTTCCTGTTCACTTTTCAAAATAAAATCGTGATTTATACAAATTCAAAGCGGTAGCTTCCAACTTTGGTTTTTAAATTAGTGTCTAGTGGTGGGGTAAGCAGAGAAATCTTTAAGTAAATGTCCAGTATCGAAATGTTACTTAGTAAAATTATCAAAGTGCAAAAACCGTCTCCTGTGAGTGTGATGCTGTTATATATTTAGCATCCGTTCATTATAACCAATGCATTAATGTGGAAGCGGCATTATACTCGTGCAGCTTATTTTAATTCTTTCAAATAAGACTTCTGAAATCATTTGGGTTAATTGATCGATCGATTGACGGTCTGAAAAACTTGATGAAATAGTAAGAAATGCTGTCACGATGACCTCTGATAGTTTTGTTGATTCAGTCAGATCTCGGAAAGCAGTGGGAGGTGCAAACGATACCATCCGATTTCAAATCGAAAGTAAACTGGATGAGGAAATATAATCTTCACACTGGCGACACGTATTGTCCTCTCCTGTAGTGCAGCCTGCTTTAATTTTAAAACCACATTTTTGTTTTTAACTTACAACCTTAGTCATGTCAAAGACTTCAACCCTGAAAATAAGCAGCGCGAATGCAGGAAAGGTAAGTTGGTTTTCTGTGCAGTGTGTACAGGACTGGTAACACAAATCTAGGTGTGACAGCGAAATGCTCAAGGACTTTACGTTACAGTGAAATTTAGGCACTTATTTAATTAAACCCTAAACTCAAATGTGTTGGAAAACAGAGTCTGTTGTAACCGAAGCAGTGGAAAGTCCGCCTTTGAGTGGAAACCGAAAGTAAATCTAACATAACATGAGTCAGCGGCTCAAACTGCACGTTGCAGATAAACGGCGTTAATGTTATTTTATTCCGTTTCCTACAGGTGGAAACCTTCCGGCAGTCCCTGTATCATGAGGTTTGTAAAGCTCTTTGTTATGCAGATAGTCACGTTTAAGCTTTGCAGTTTCTGCTTCGTTTTTGAGTTTTGAATGTTTTCCAGGCAGAGAACCTGTTTTCGAATCATATCCCCACGAAGATTTTACAGCTAGATTCTCTGCTCAAGGTTAGTAAGGTCATCATTTTACTGTAATACAATATTACCACGGGCCTCCATCTTATTATCCTGCCCGTATTTTTCAGGACGATGCCCTCAGCATCGCTGACATGTCCTCACTCCGGGCTCCACTGGACATCCCCATACCAGACCCCCCTTCCCCAGAGGATGAGGTGAGACCTGCTGCATTCGCCTGGTTCACTGTGTAATGGGGATTTTATCCATTATAGTGGCACAAATGCACATTCAGAGCAGGTTTAAATGAAACAGACAGGTTTACTCTGCTTTAGGTCACACATTTGGTGCTTTACAGGATGAATGTGGTTTCACTATTTGTTTCAGCTCACCCTATTAATATTTATTTGATAATAGTCACTATTATCAGCAAAGTACTACTAAACGTACTCTTTATGCAGAGTGACTTTCTTAAAATGATAATATGCATTGCATATATTGAAGCTGCTACAGGTGTAGCTAATTTTAATTTACATACTGTCATATAATGTGTAAAACAATATAGTATAACGGGATGATCTATTAGCTGATTATATTTTGTAATATTAATGTAAATCTGAAAAGTAACTAGTACCTACAGCTGTCAGATAAATGTAGTGGTGTATTTTCCACCAATAAATGTCAGTCATCAGAAGCAAACTCTGCCTCACACATGACACAAAATGTCTTAAAATGTTTTATTTAAAATCGATCTCATAGGAAATGGAGACTGATAGTAATGAAGATGATGAGAAGAAAAAGAAGAAAGGTGAGGTGTTTTGTGGTCTTTAACAAGGCTGACAGATGGCATGTGTACACAGTGTACATGATGGAGTGGAAATATCTTAATTCTTATGCTGTCCCACAGCTCCAAAATGTGGCTTCATCAAGGGGAATGAGAAGATTATGATGCTTCTAGACAAGGTGAAACCAGAGATTGTGGCTCTCAGAGAGACTATCCTCATAGTAAGTGAATCATTCTCGCTGTAAAGACTAACACTGGCTCGTGTTAGGTATTTTTAGGCAGATAGATATTGGATAGATACTTTATGTATTAGAAATGTTTAGTGGTGATAGGATGTCTAGTTAGACTGTTAAATGCTTAGGCATGCTTATGAGTTTCTACAGGGTACATCTGGTCAAGGATAACTAGAGAGAAGAGTTGATGACTGTCAGCAGACAGGATGTTTAATATTATTATTATGACGTGTATAACTGTAGCCTTAGCCATAATATGTTCTTATGTTTAAGTCACGACATGTACTAGAGGTCGTGTGAGAATGTTTTTAGCTACACACCACTTAATCAACAGACACACACACACACATTGATTTGCTTCATGTTTTGACTACTGCTATGACCAGCTGCAAAGCTGGCAACAGAGACGTTTCGGTTGACGTTTCTGTGTAGTATGGGGCTAGCCCAACCGAGGGGATATAATGTATAGGCCTGGTGGGTTCAGGGTCTTTTCATCTTGCATCTGCCTGCGTGCAGTTTGGAGGTGCAAGATACCTGAGCGTGTAATGTTAATTTTACCTGTGATCCTTTGAATAAATCAGCACTTTTTTTAAGTTACTTGGGCTGTCTCGTCTCTGAGTTGGCAATGGTACAAGAACCAAAGACCCACACTCGCTTCATCTGATAAACTCACTTCTGCTGTGTTACTGCAGGTGTCCTGCTGGATTCAGCACCTCATTCCAAAAATAGAAGATGGAAATGACTTTGGGGTTGCCATCCAGGTACTTTTCCCTGTGCACCCTGTTCATGCATAGTGACACAATTTGATCAAATTAAGTGAAGTTTCAATGAAATGAAAACTGTTTTTCACCACAGGAGAAAATCTTGGAGAGAATTGCTGCAGTAAAGACCAAAGTCGATGGTTTTCAGACCAACATCAATAAGTAGGTTGGATATAAATTCTGCTGGTCTAATGGTGGGAAACACTTTCATTCACCTGCCAAATATTTGTCAAGTTTACCAACAGTTTTGGTTGACAGACAGAACGCAGGATACTTAGATTCTAACCAAAAGCAGAACATTTTATGCTAATTTTGGTTGATGTAAACACTAATCTAAAACTCCCTCTTTTTAAATGCGTAGGTACTTCTCAGAGAGGGGAGATGCTGTTGGAAAAGCCTCCAAAGAGACTCATGTGGTGAGTGTCAACAATGTTCTTGATCATTTTAATAGACGGGCCTACATGTAAAGATGCACTCTAGCAATTTATTATTACACTGCCATGAAACCTTTATAGACTGAAGTGTGTGTGTGTGTGTGTGGGGGGGGCACTGAATCCTACAACATATTATGTATGTATAGAAAAGAGAGATCAAGGATCGTTCAGAGTCACAGAGGACACTAAACACTGAGCTTAGTGTGTAAAATTGGTGGAGTGCTCCTTGAACTCTGCTTTCCTGCTCAACAGATGGACTACCGCTCACTCGTCCATGAGAAGGATGAGGCCATCTACTCTGAGATCAGGGTGATTGTTCTCGACATCCGCGGCTTCTACGTAAGTCAGCTATCTTCTCAGAAATGTTAACCACTGTCCTGTCATACATGCACTTTTAACCTGTTTTCTACCTTGTTGCTTTAGGCCGAACTTTACGACATCATCAACAAGAATCAGGAAAAGGTGACTAATCCAAAAGGAGAGGAGAAGCCCTCCATGTACTGAAGCTAGAGAGAAGAGGTGATGTTTTGAGGTACCGCTGGGGCAGATTCTTCAGTTATCTGGTTTAACAGCTGTATTGTTTGGTGTCTTCATGAATCAGTTAATCACTCAGTCAAACTGCATACTGCAAGTCATTCAGTCATAAACATGAAAAAGTTAAACCTGCATTCCTCTGTTTTAGCTTTGTCATGCTAGAAAGAGGTTTTATCACTGCTGTTGTGTAAAATACTTTAGGCAAACAATACTTGGTTGTTGTATGACTATAATTTAAAATGTAGTTTAAAAAAAATAAAGAAAATCTTTGCTTTTCATGTGTGAATTTCCTTTAATTGTAGTTTTTTTTTCCATGTGTGATTTTCAAATTAATATGACATTAGGTATCTTATAACAAAAATATTTTCTTCCCTAAAGATGAATCAGGAAAACTAATCAAAATAACAAAATCAACAAAAGGAGCACAATGTAGAAAAGGCAAAACTATCTCAGCACCCAGGGCTTCATACATCAGGGCCCTCTCCTCCAGGTATGAGCTGCAAAAAAGGAAATGGATAGATAGAAATTATACTGTGAAGACCTTATACTACAGTTACAGGTCATGTGTGTGAGCCTATGCAGTTAATCTGATGGCACCAACCATGCAGGATATTTTCATACCATGGTGACATTATTGCCGTTGAGTAGGATCTGGTCCAGTTTGGTTATCCTCCTCCCCTCTGGTGTGATTTCACTAAAAGATTCAAAAATAAGAAATAATAATAAACAAGTACCTTAATATGTGACGTGAAAACAAAGTGTACTTACAATTCTGTCACATCGTCCAGGACCATATCTAAGAAACCAAGTTAAGGACAAACTTTGAGGATATTGTTACAATCTCGATTTAAAGTTACACACTACATTAAACATGAGAAAGTGTTATACTATAACCTTGAAAGGATACTGACAAAATCATCAAAACCCAGCAAGGTACCAACGATTTCTTTATCGTTTTTCATGACGATGTGAATTCGTGAGCCGATACATTTGTCCACGAGCTCTGAAAAGTAAAATAGAAAACTTGATATACCGTAACGTTAGTTTTTATCTAAGGTTAAAAGCCTATGGACATATAGGACTTTTAGACTTGAATTCGGTTATTAGAACTATTTTGTTCGCTAGTTATCAATAGCATCATGCTAGTAGATATCCACGGTTAGTGCACCTGATCGACGGAAACGGATAATTGTACCAAATAAAAACTAAATGACGAATTAGACTTTGAACCTTAGCACGTCATTAGCAACATATAATACACAATGTAACTAATATTCATAATTTACAAACCCAGTGGGAGCATCTGCGACGGATTTGTTCCTTGTGCAGTCGCCATGTTTCAACTCTGTACATTAGACAGTCAGAACCAATCAATAGAAGACCACAGGCAAACAGACATTAGCAATCACATTTTTTCCTTTTGGGTTGAAAATCAGTTTAAATGTGCTATACCGCCATATATCGCCAATCCCTATACCGATTGGACTGTGCATAAAACGTTTTGCCGGAAAAAACGCCTAATTATTTATGTTTATCCTGTTTCTTAATCCCCCCCAATCACCACCACTACCACCTTCGTACTCTTCTTGTTTTAGACAAGTCAACATCCTTGTTGTTGCATTGCTGCCCCCTTTTGAATGACTCTGTTATAGCAGTGCTTAAACCCTTATATGGATATCCGTTATCCCACCTTATAAAATACTTTATACTATTATTTCTGCTAAATCTGTCTCCCTTAACTCTTGTAACATCTCTTCCCTCTCTGCCCTGTTTCTCCTATGCTACTGTTTCTAGCTACAGGCTCACTGTACACAATATGGATACTTTCCTATGATATTATATAAGCTGTGCTGTTTTAGATTTGTGCCTCCATTTTATACCGTTAGACATAAACCTTCAATTGAATGGATGGTTTTAACATTTTGTAATTGCTTCACGTGATGACCCTAGTTTTGGTAGTCAATACATGACGTAATTCTTTCACTGCAACAAAGAGAATAAATTCAATGTCAAGATTGTTCACCACCTTAGTAGTTTAGTAGTTTTTCTACTGTCTATGTCAGCATTTTTAATGTTATGCTTCACTATTTCAGAGGGAAATATTGTACTTACTCCACTATTTTGACAGCTGAAATAACACAACACTCTGACAGGGGTCACTGCTGCCTTTATAAGTCAATGTAATTTTTCCTAGTACATTTGTTACTAGTAGTTTTGAATGAAGGCCTTGCAGTACACCAATTTACAGTCGGTCAGTGCAATTTGTTTAAAAAAAATAAAACAATCCTTAAATTCTTCCTTTTGTACTTTTGACTTCATAATTCGTCCCATAATTCAATCCGCGCTTGTACCAAAGCGAAGCCGGAAGTTCGCTTCAGTGAAGACTCCCGCTTTTCCGGTTTTGATTCTCTGTGTGGGACGAAGCGGAAGCGAGAAATCATCCGAGCAGAGATTGTGTTGCACTGATACTGTGTCGATTCAGTAGGAAAGTCCGCTCTTTTTGCTGTGTTTACAGTCGACCCCCGAGTTACAAACAACACGGGTTGTCACAAACAGCGGGGGCCATGGAGTCTCACGGCACAGACGAGATTAAGGGACCGGTGCTGCACATCGCGGTGGTTGGATTTCACCACAAAAAGGGCTGTCAGGTACGTGAACCCCGGCTCTAAGCTAATGTTGCTAAATGCCAACTGCAAATAAAGGCACATTGCCACTCTCATCCAGGTTTGATTTCTCTGAGCTGGGGGATTGCCAACCAGTGTACTGACAGTTTATGCAGCTCTCAGGGTGCACACTCAGCCCTGCAGAGGGGGTGGTAATTGTTCCTGTCTGACATGAATTGGAAAGAGGTTGTAATTGACATCAGCTATTTTTCCCTGGGCTCAAGGGGTTATGTAACATGTGCGCTGTTGGCAACATGGACACATTTCCATTTCGGGGTTTTATTCCAAACTGCGGCTTCACTGTTTCTGGACGCAATACATATGGTAAATGTCAGGATATTTTTGATTTGGGGGACTGGATTTGACATTACGGGGATCCACGCGCTTTTAGTGTTCGTTTCACGGCTGTGATGTTGAGATCTGGGCAGTATCGGGGCCAGACCATCTGCAGCAGGACTCCTGGTTCTTCTGGTCTCTGAAGATGGATTGTTAAGACTCCAGTTGCACGTTTTTGCTCATTGTCGTGCTGCAGAATGGATTTAAGACAGTACTGATACTGATATTTGAGAGTTAAAAAAACCAGATGACGATGTGTACAGACAAAGGGAAGGTGAACCCAACATAAAGGGCTTCAGAAAGGTGTCACCAGAACAGCTTCAGTTAAAAGAAAAGCCTGAGCTCACTAACTAACCAACTTGTGTACTTTCAGAAAATTGTTTTAACTGTAACACAGCATGTCCTGTTTTGGATGCCAAAGCAAAAATATTGTCTATACTTTCGTTCCAGTAATACAAGCATGGTTTTCTGCAACCTCCCACTTTTTTTTAACAAAGCAAGTGAAATTTCTCAAATATTAAATATCATGGCTCAGGTAAAATTTTACCTAAAATGAGCAAATGAAATTATTATAAATATTCTTATGTGGCAGTAGCCTTGCAGCTTATGATTAATTTCACTTGGTTAATTATTTGGTCTCGTCTGTTTGAATATACCAAAAAATGTCTGAGTTGATGTTTTCAAACCTGAATATCTAAAGTCTGCAGTAGAAATATTCACCAACTGTCACATCTTAGAGGCTGGAATCAGAAAACATTAAATTTTTTGCTTAAAATAATCTGGATGATTGTACGGCTGTAGCTAATTATTTTCATTACCAATTAATCTGATCATTTTCCCAATTAATCAATTCATTGTCTATAAAATCAGACAACAGTGAAACATAGTTGTTAACATTTCCCACTGACCCAGAAAAAGTTTATTCAGGCAGTTAGCAGCAAACTGTCACATTTGAGAAGCTGGAACAAGGGAATGAAAAACACTAGAATAATTCAGAGATTTATCAAAATTGTTGCTGAATAATTGTGTTTGATTGATTAAAAGATGAATTCTAAAATTGCAGTTGGTTGGTTTCTGGTGTCAGAGATGCTGTATATGAAGGTCTCTATCAGCTCTACATGCCAAGCTTTTTTTGTTCTGACATGTCTGACCTGCTGCTTCCTGTGTGACAAAAGCAGCGTCTGACACCTGCTAATTAGCGAGACGTTCAGCACAACTGGCTCTAATGCATCTTCTAATTACTGCCTCTAAATACTTAGGCTGCCGTCACTGCTCTCCATCTGTCCCCCTAACACGTGGAGGGTCTGTCTTCCTGTGGCCTGTTTGATTCGACTTAGTGGAAGCAGCTGCTGCTTCATGAGACAGACGAGGCAGGCAGTACCCAATGTAAAAATTACTGGGGCTGCAACAAAGCAGTCGAGGTTATCTGATAGGGCAGCGTATCAGGAGATTGGGTTCCTGTCTCTCTGCAAACCACCTCTTTTTATTCACCTGCTGTCCATCTGCTGCTCCTGCACGAGGCTCAGTGACAAGAGGTGGCGTTCTTAGGAGGATCGCTTCTCCAGAGTTGTGAGTGGCACCTTGCCCTAAGGGAGTACACCGTTGATCCTCCAAGAGCAAATCATTTCTGATGGGTGTGTGTAGAGTTCAGGACCAGCAGGTTTCCAGTTAATCCTGTAGGAGCTTCTGTCACCACTGGCAGGAGGTGGGGCCTCCTGAGGGTGACTGCCAGTGGTGGAAGAAGTACTTGGATTGTTTACTTAAGTAAAATTAGCAATACCACAGTGTAAAAATACTCTGTACAAGTAAAAGTCCTGCATTCAAATTTTTATTTAACTAAAACTACAAAAGTATTGGCATCAAAATATACTTAAATTACCAAAAGTATAAGTAGTCATTATGCAGAATGACACAATTCACATTAATATATTTCACATATTTGGACTATAATTATTGATGTAATATTGCTTCACAGTGTTGGTAAAGGTGGGACTACCTTATACTGCTGGGTAGCTGGTGAATTTCCCACCAGTGATCAGTAATGTCTGAGCGGTTATGGTAAGTCTAACCATGCTTTCTCTCTGTGTGCCTCATTCTCTCCCCAACCCTCAGGTTGAATTCTCCTACCCGCCGCTGATGCCAGACGAGGGTCACGACAGCAACCTGCTGCCTGAGGAGTGGAAGTACCTCCCGTTCCTGGCTCTACCTGATGGGGCACACAACTACCAGGAAGGTTCGTCACCTGGGAATTCATTATTGTGTAATTGAAACTCTATGTATGTCTCCTTGTGGCTGCTCTTGTGTGACGGTCTGCCGCTGTTTGTATTGTCCTGTGAGAGCAAACAGCAGGAGCTGAGTCAAAGTTTACATCTTGACCTTCAACTGAAATCACACCCATCCAGCCTGTTACTGTGGTGATGAGACAGGACCGGCTGGCTTTGTAATGATCAGCCTAGTGTTTCTGTATCGTATGGAGGAAAAGCACACGGTGCTTTTATCTTTAACTCGTGCAACACGCTGTAGTTTATCTGTGAGGACTCAGCTGTGTGTGACGAGTGGACACATGCAGTCGCTGTGTTCACTGCTGCTGGTGGACATCAGGGTCGGTTCAACCCTGAATACTGAGGAGAGAAAATTAGATTTCTTTTACAATTTGGAAGTATTTTTTTATTTACAGATGGGTGAAAAATGAAAGGAAACTCCTGAATAAATGAGTGGAAATAAAAAAAAAAATGCAGGGTTCACTTATTAATTTACTTATTTTCTTGATTTATGTTTTTATTCAGAGAATGTCAAAAATTGTTTTATCCAACCAGCAGATCCACAGAGACTCAGCTGATTCTCATGTCTGACAAAGAAAAGCATCAGCTCCTCACATTAAAGAAGGTGGAACCAGAACATGTCGGTGGCTGTTGCTTCTAAATAGTTTCCGGTTATTTTCTACCAGTGAACTGACTCATGGATGGAGGTCTAAGTCACTTAATTG